AATCATTCAACCGACCATCAAGAGAGTTTCACTGCATTTAAATGACTTGATATGGGCTTGAATGATCCCAAGTTGGATCAAGTTTAGCATCGTTAGGTTTGTTTTACTGAGACGCTCAGTTCGATTATAAATTTAATGAAATCGAAGCTTGGATATGATCATGAATTTACATTTGGAATAATTTCTCACTCAAAATGCTTTGAGAATCATGCATCATAATACATTTTTGAGAAAGTATCAAAACAGAAGCTTGCCCTCCCTCCCCCCACTTCAAAAAAGAGGTTAGCTCCCACCCTGGGTGTTACAGCTATAAATACATATGAATTAGATGGCATATGTTAATGCCTCAAAATCTTAATGCTTGAACATATAATTTCCCATGAACATCAAAATAACAAAAACAACGCTTAAAGATAAGTGCATCTCTGATTAGATGAATATAACACAAATTCTTCATCCATGGCACGAACTAAAGGGAATTCAACCATTTTAAACCCCATCTCAACACAATTTTTTCCAACCCTAAACTAACTTAAAACATTTTGTGCGCGCAACCGTGTGGATTAGACCATGCTAATGCGCATAATGGAAAGGAGTAATCCGCATTATTCTCTGCGTCTAGGCGTGGTGCAATTCACACCATCATCCAGACATTTAATTGTATAGACTAAGCGGCGTGGTGCGATCCACACCATCTTCCAGACATCCCGTGGTATGGACTAAGTAGGGTAGCGTGATCCACATCATAGTCTGGACATTCAATAATTGTTTGAACATTTAGTGACCCAGACATAATATTTTTATAGTTCTCCTCACTTCGTTCGGATGTCCGCATGAAAATATTTTTTTACCTAAACTTAACACAAACCACAACTCAACTCACCTTACCTTCATAAACTTCATGATCCCCATCACAAAAAACCAGCTCTTCCCACACCAACTCATCTTCTTCCCCAACCTGTCTCCCACCCCACAAAACCTCCATAACCGACCACCACACACTGCTATCAGGCAAGCAGCCATCAACCACCATCTCCTCCACCACCCCCAACGCCTTCTCAACCTCCCCTTTCCTGCACCACAGCTCCACCAGAACCCCATAAGTCTCCACTTCAATCGAAATCCCCCGTCTACGTGACGAAACATAAACCCTGAAAGCTCGAATCAACTCCCCTGCACCGCAGAGTCCTCGAATCACCATGTTGTGAATCCTCACATGAAGGCTCCATGTCAATCTATTGGGCACAATTCCACTCATAACCATCTCGTCCAGATAATTGGAAGCCTCATGAAATCTGCGGGAATCACATAAAGCATTGATGATCTTCCCATACAGTCCGGCATCCGGCTTTCTTCCTCGTAACCTCATCCCGTCAAAAACCTCGAGCGATTCTTGCAATTTTTTGGAGTGGAGGAGGCCGCCGATGAGAGCGGTGTAGGTGATGATATTCGGCGAGAATCCCCTTCTCGCCATCTGGTCCAGAAGCTTCATCGCATCGATTGATCGGCCGCCTTTACAGAGCCCATCGATCAGGGATGTGTAGGTTACCACATTGGGCTTAATTCCTTGATCAGACATTTCTTCGAACAGCTTGAGAGCATGATCGAGATGGCCGGAGATACACAAGCCGTGGATTAAGGAAGAGAAAGTGACGACAGTTGGGGAAAGTTTATGTTGCGGCATTTCGTCGAACAGGTTCCGTGCATCGTTCACCCTGCCGTTTTTGCAGAGCCCATGGATCAAGGTGTTGTAAGTGCAGGCGTCCGGCGGGCATCCGCGGCCAGGCATTCGATGGAATATGCGAATGGCGGCCTCGAGGGCGCCGGAGGAGGAGGAGGAGGAGGAGCAGAGGGCTTTGATGAGGATATTGAAGGAGGTGACGGTGAAGGGGATCCCGGCGGACTTCATCTCGTTGAAGAGGGTTTTCGCGGAGGAAAGCTGGTTGTTTGCAACGAGGGCGGCGAGGGTGGCGTTGTAGGAGCGGTGAGAAGGACGGAGGAGGAAGACGGAGGTCATGCGGCGGAAGAGGTGGAGGGAGTCGAGGGGATGGTGTGAGCGCGAGTAGGAGCGGATGAGGGGGAGGAAGGAGGATTCCGCCGGAGGGTTGCCGAGCTCCGAGAAGGCGCGGGAGAGGAGGGATTCGGCGGTGCGAGGATGGCCGGAGGAGGCGAGGCGGGAGGCCATGAGAGCGAAGGTGGCATGATCATGTCGGTAGCCGGATGAGTCCTCTCTGGAGGCGGATTCGAAGATCTGTAACGCTTTCTGGACGTCGCGCTCGGCGCGGATTAGGTGTAGGACGTGGGAGGCCGACGGCGGCGCCGTCCATTTTATCGCCGGAAATTTGGAGGAGATCATGGTGGTGAAGAGGTTGCAGCAATGGAGTCGCCCATTCAGTTTAGCTTTTGGGTCGAACGAGATTGGATCGAGTCAGAGCTAAAATTTTGGAGTATGTATCCATCCATACATGAATCTGCTTAAATTGATTTGAGATTGACTCGAAGTAACTTCAGCTGAGATTGATAGTTCTAAATTCTGAATCGGATCAAACTGACTTCGAGTTCATAAAGAATTCAAAGAACTCAATTTGAGCAAACTTGTTACAAATTTGATCGGGATAGAGCTCAGATGTGATTGAAATAAAAGAGCTAAATTATGAATTAAAATTTATTAATGAATTTTTTTTCGAGCTGATTTTGAGTTATATATTAATAAATTCAAATTGGCTCAAGATTGGTGCCAAATATTTACATATATTGTGCTAAATAAATTTTAACTTAGGAACCAGGAATCAATTTAGAGCTAGAATGAATCCAAATAACTCAATTTAAGCCTGTAAGTTTTAATTT